GAAACATTGAGCTGCAAAGATACTGTTATCCAAGCTTTTTTAGCTTTCCAATTCGTTCACTGAGAGCTCTCATGTCTCCATGTTGAGAGAAATCAGGAGTTTCAAGAGACCGAGACAGAAGACATCCTTCAGCCTGAGGCTTATTAATTTCACTAGTGAAAAGGGTCTTTACAAATGAAATAATATAACTATTGGATTTTTTGTTATTAAAAAAAAACAAAACAAATAAGCAAGCCCAGTCCAGGTGACAAAAAGTAATGCAAAAGTAACGTAATTAATTACTTTCCATTCAAAGTAACTAAGTATTGCAATTAGTTACCATTTCATGGAGTAATGCAATGTTGATTTTCAAATAGTTGTGTATCAGCCAAATATTGTCAGATCCTAACAAACCATACATCAATGGAGAGCTGATTTATTCAGCTTTCAGATGATGCATAAATCTCAATTTCAAAAAAAGGACCCTTATGACTGGTTTTGTGGTCCAGGGTCACATATACTCTATATGAAAGAATCTGGGTTCGTAGAGAAAGATAACAGTCATTCTCATCATTTTTATAGTTTTTTTTAATATTATGATTGCCTGCTCGTTTTATGTGTTTCTGTGTTTCTGAGGTTGTAAATGAAGGCTGTCTCACCGAATCTCTTCTTGTTCTCACATCACCAGAGAAAGTGGCCCAGGCCAAAGAGGAGAATCTGACATAAGGCTGCGACATAAAATACATGAAACAACAATAATTTGGTCTCAATACTTCCTGAACGCACTTTCTAGTTATCCAAGGTGACTTGTATTGCATGCAGCGTCTAGATCTGATCAGTCAAAGCTCTGCTGTTGCATTATTAATAACAGACTCCAGAGAATCTTTCTGAACTGTTTTGTTCTGACCAGCAGAGCGGCTTTGGACTAGTTTGCCAAAGTAGGATTCACCACATGATGTATGGTTGAGGTTTTGTGACCCAAAATGTGCTTACCTTTATTGTAGCACCTCCTATTGGCCATTTAAGGTGAGTCTTTGTGCCTCATTAGCAAGCAATGGCACCAACATCCCAACCAAGGTTAAGGTCTGTAGGCCTTATTTTTTGGCCTGCACTGCCTGTGACAATTATCTAGATTTTTTTCTTACAGTGTACTAACTGATCAACAATCACATGTACAAGCTACTTACAAGGTTTATCATAAATGAACAATTATTAAATTATTATTTTATTATCAAATTGAACAACTGCAAACAGCAATATCTTAATTAATGTAATGTATGTACTTCTAGGCATCTTTGGTTTCCTCTTTTTGTGAAATTTAGATGGAAAATGTGTGCCTTTTTATTGTTTGAGTCACTTATCAAAAGTTGCTAAAAGTAGCCAAATAAAATTTTAAAAATAGCTAAATTTGTTGCTAGGTGCTTTTGGAAGAAAACCTTGCTAGGGTAGTCTGAAAAGTTGCGAAATTTAGCAACAAAATTGCTAAGTTGGCAACACTGTGTGCTATACACGATAAGAAATCCAGAACCACAAATCTTCAGTCTAGTTTCCATTAGAACGTTTTCTGAACTTTTTATGTATATGCAAGTGAGGCAGTGTCTCCTTAAATGTGCACTTATTTGCATACTTTTCCAGAACAGAAATCTGAAGGTCGGATGCAATCAAGTTGAAAATTCTTTTTTTTTTTTTTTCAGAATACAGAGAAACAGTCAGAAAATGCTGTCAACAGTTTTTAAAAAACACAATACATTTTCACCATGTTTTTAGGAATGAAATGTTACATGTAACACATGAATGATATGTTAACAAATCCCTCTGTAAAAACCTGCAGAATATTAATAGGAATAAAACTAAGGTTTGGAGTATGTAAGATCTGGGAAAATGTAGATTTCTGCCGCTGTGTAAGGAAGAAAACTAGTTTTGAGAAAACGGGCTTTAAAAACATGTATTGTAATTGAAATCTACAGATGCAAATTACTTAAATATATACTTAAATGTATATTTTGTATGTTTTCGTTTCACTAGTCATGTTATGGAAGCAAAGTAGACAAAAAAATCTCAAAATTGACCACTGCATTAAAAAATAATATTTCCTGTACTCTCTTACCTTAAATTATGAAAGTGACAGATAGATGCCATGATTTTGGAATTCATTCTGTTATAATGAATAATGATCGCTGCTTCCAGTTTCTGCTGTTAAAGGCTCCCATGTCTTTTGTCCTCGAGCAGTTTCCCTGCTCTCAGTTGATTCTGAGGAAACTTGGGTTTTTTGAAACGCTGATTCATTTTGAGCTCTTGTGTTGATTCATCAGGAAGGCCAACGAGGGTCTGGCAGCCATTAGTGATGACGACGGCTCAGCTATTTCGGTGCGACAGATGGCTTACGGTAAACTGTGCTCAGCTGTTGTTGTGTTTCATGTTGCACTCAGGATCACTGGATGGCAGGTTTGATCAGATGTCTGTGTGTGTTTCGTGTGCAGTGGCTGGGCTGGGCTTTGGGATCATGAGTGGAGCGTTCTCAATGATCAACGTCCTGTCTGACTCTCTGGGTCCCGGGACGGTCGGCATCTTTGGAGACTCGCAGTATTACTTCATTACAGCAGGTGAGCTCCTGCAAAGCCTCATGGGCCATGAGTAATCAACTGATCCAACAGCTTTCACATGTGCTGTTTGTATGTCAACATATGACAAAGCACTTGGCAAATGACACAAACCAGTCCTGCTGTTGGGGAAAGATGTATATTTTATTTAATAATCACTAGGGTTGCAAAGGGGTGGAAAATTTCCGGAAACTTTCCAAAAATCCTGGAATTTCTGATATGTTTCCGAAATTTACTGGAAATTTTCCACCTTTTTGCAACCCTAATAATCACGTAGGTCACCGACGTAGGTCAGTCAAAAAAAAATATTTGTGTGAAAAACACAACACTACTTTCATATTTTATTCTGGATTTGGCCATGAAATCTGGAAGCTGGCGTTGAAAAACAAACATATGACAGCTGTTTTTTTTTTGTGAGACCGAGTAAAGGTCATGTTGTTAGGTTCTACTTTTACAGGAAACACCTGTATATTACATTATCAAGAGGACATCTCTTATTATGCTTTGCTCTTGATTGGTTCAGTTTTTAAATATTATCTTTTAAATGTTACGTTTATAATTATAATGCTCATGTAAGAACCTGATTTAAAATTTCTCAGTGATACTAAAAACATAATGTTTGGCAGACATCCCTAACTCTGATCGTTTTTGTTCACTTCATTTTGGTCCGTTTTATCCCTTAAATGTTTTTCTTCAATTTTAATATTCTTATATATTACTACACTGCTATATAGTTTTTACTGTTTATAATAACAGGCTACCCACAGTTATGAAAAATGTAGGAATATCAGGAAATTTTAAAGTTGTGGTTTCCAGGCCTGGAAAAATCATAGGAATTCTTCTAGTTATGCTCATTTCTGAAATGCTGACTAGAAATTGCTCTTTGAGAGTGCAATCCTTTTGGGGGGGAAATAAATTAATAAATAAAATAATAATAATGTAAAAGTCCTTCAGTGTGCGAAAATTCATTAGTCCAGAAGGTTTAAAACCTTTTATTATTTATTAAAGGGATACAAATGATCATCAAAAATTGTCATCATTTATTCTCTTTCATGTCATTCCAAACCTGGATGAAATTCTTACACAAAAAAAGATACAAGAAAGAAATGCATCTTTCTTCAAGGCAGTGTTCTTAAATTTTTTTAATTTTAAAGGGGTCATATGATGCTATTTTAAGGATCATTATTTTGTGTATTTGGTGTAACAGAATATGTTGACATGCTTTAATGTTCAAAAAACACATTATTTTTCAAATACTGTACATTATTGTAGGTCCTCTATGCCCCGCCTCTCTCAAACGCGTTGTTTTCTACAAAGCCCCTCCTTCGACAAGCGCAGTCTGCTCTGATTGGCCAGCTGACCCAGTGCATTGTGATTGGCCGATTTAAAAATTTACATTTTTAATTTAATTTGCTGCACGATTGACAAAAATCATAATTGTCGATTATTTCCTTGAAATTGTAATTGCGATTATTAATTACGATTATCACAATTTACATAGAATGATGTTTATACCATTGTTTAATGCAACTGCATGCTGTGTTTTTATATGAAAATAAACAAGCTGAAAACACTCTAACTGAAAAACCTTTAGTGCTTTTCTATAGTATTAAACCTCAAATGTCAACTACACATCGGATTGGTTTCTTCTTTAAATTATAAAAAAAGTAAAAATATGAAATGTTATACTAAAACTAAAATAATTATGGGCAAAACCCTTAAGAAAACATGTAGAAAGAAAAAAACACATCTTAAGCACGCAGAATAACATAAGTGGACTTTGAACGATTAAGTAATTGTGGCATCCATAATTGTAATCATAATTAGAATTTCGATTAATTGTGCAGCCCTAATTTTTACTATATGTTCACATAGAAAACAGCAATTTTAACTTTTGACTAAGTTTGATCAAATAAGTGCAGGCTTTGTGAGCAGAAGAGACTTTTTCCAAAAGCATTTAAAAGATCCCACACTGTTGAACTGTATTGTATGTAAGCTTTGTAAATGAATTCTGTCATTAGAGATTCTCATAGCTTGATGTAGCGCCTGTAGCTTGTGATGGTGTAAAGTTACACCAGACGCACTGTGTTATTACATGGTAACGCTGCTTTAGACGGGCTTGCTCAGATGTCTAATGTTTCCTCTGGATGCAGATCCAGAGCATGACGTTACAGGACCGGGACTGTTTCGGTTTCATACGCACCGCTTGGGTTATTTGTGTCTATAAACTTTCCCCAGGAAATGTTATTGCTCAGAGATTGCTTTTTTTTTAATAACTCTGCAGACTTTGACCCTGTTTTTATCTCGCATTACCATGCATCTCAAATATTAAATGTGTCCAGTCTCGATCCAGTTGGGTCTGCAGTTGTATTAGGGTATACATCACTTACTCTGCTACTAGTCTAAAAGGCATTTTCTCTCTTCCCTTGTGTCAGTCACTGCTGAATCCGCTGTATGAGGGCAGTCTGCCTCCTGTGTATGTCATTACGCTGCTGATGGGCGTCTGGGCGTTCTTCTCATCTGGAGGATCACTACACAGCCTCAATGCTCTCTGCACACGTAAGACGTGACATTCACACGCTTTACAGACTTCAGTGATGCCTAAGAGAGTCTAAACTGTAATCCAATCTGAAGTCTGAGCTCTGTAGCAAGGGTTTCTGAGCCCTGGGTTCGAGCACCAGGTTTGGAGGACACTGCTTTACAGTCATGTGCTTCCAGATGTTCATCAGTCGACTGTGAATCATATATCAGCAGGCCCCCATATTTCCACAATTGTGGATAGTAACAAAGTATTTTTACTCTGCTACTATATTTAAGCATGTTTGTCAAGTATCTCAAACATTTATTCCACTGCATCCCAAAGAATAATATTGTAAAAAAAAAAATTGGATGGGGGGAGTTCTCGTCATTTAGACGTAAAACAACACTTTAACTTCATTCATTATATTTGTTTCCTCTGAAGCTGGATTCACAGAAATGTTCTTAAAAAAAGGAAGTTAAGAAATGTATTAAAGGGGTCATATGATGCGATTTTAAGTGTTCCTTTCTCTTTGGAGTGTTACAAGCTGATTGTGCACAGATAAGATCCCTGAAGTTGCAAAGACTAAAGTCTCAGGGAAAACTTGAAAAATCAGCAGTGTATCAAATACTTATTTGCCCCACTGTAGGAACATTCTTACGAACTTAAGATTCAATTCTAAGAACATTATTTTCTGTCTTGAAAATAAATTGACAGGTTATGGTGTTATCTGATTATATGGCAGTTCTTGCCATAGGCTCAGATCAGCTGCAGAAATAATCATACTGTAATAATCATAAACATGTGCACTATTTTCATAGAGAATGAGAATTTAGGACACGCTATTGCATTTTTTATACACCATGAATTTGAAATAGTTATTTGTAAAGAACCTGTCTGAAGATGTAGCGGTCTGTTGCATTGATTTGCACAGGCTTTATTGCGCTTTCTCAATCGTGAATGTGTCCTGCATCTGTCTTGAGTTTTATTTTTACCACTAAAAATATAAAATTAAAAATATGAGTTGAGTTTCTACTGAATTTGGAACTCGTAAAAAGTCTTTAGGAGCTTATTTACATTGATTTGTGAGAAGATTCTTTTATGTGCTGTCTACAGAAAAAAAGATAAGAATATTTGGTAACACTTTAGTATAAGAACCATATCACTATTAACTTTCTTATTAGCATGCCTATTATTAACATATTGGCTGTTTATTAGTGTTTATAAAGCACACATTCTGCATGAGCATATTCTACATCCCTAATACCTCAACTTAATAAACTCCTAATAAGCTGCTTATTAATAGTTAGTAAGGTAGTTGTTGAGGCAAAAGTTGTATTAATGGTTTATTAATAGCGAGAATTGAAACATTTTTGTGAAAATGTTGGCATCACTTTACATTAAGTTCCTATTTTGTTAATGCATTAGCTAACATAAATTAGCAAAGTATTTTAAAGCTTTTTTTTTTTTGGTAATGTCAGTAAAAATACAAGTGCATTGACAAATTATAGCAGGTACAAATTTTGATTTAAAAAATGCATTAGAAAATTATGAAATTAACATTGACCAATATTAATAAGGGATGTATACGTATTGGTTATTGTTTGTTCATGTATACTAATGTAGTTAACTAATGTTAACAAATGAAGCCTTAATTTTAAGGTTACATTCTCGCTTATAACAAACCATTAACTATTTTTTTCAATAACTCCTAATTAGCTGCTTATTAATAGTTAGTAAGGTAGAATATGCTCATGCAGAATGTGCTTTATAAGTACTAATAAACAGCTAATATGTTAAAAATAGACACGCTAATAAACTAGTTAATAGTGAGAATTGGTTCTTATACTAAAGTGTTACCAAACTTGTAAAGTTTTTGGGCATATTCTCAACTTTATTCTAAAAGCAACTTTATGTAGTTTAGTGTATTTAAGTGTCTTTGGAGCCCCTACAATTAAGTGAGTGATTACAGTGGATCGTTGTACATGTGCATGAGAGAGAGAAACAAGTCTTTCTAATTCTCGCTTATAACAAACCATTAACTATTTTTTTCAATAACTCCTAATTAGCTGCTTATTAATAGTTAGTAAGGTAGAATATGCTCATGCAGAATATGTGCTTTATAAGTACTAATAAACAGCTAATATGTTAAAAATAGACACGCTAATAAACTAGTTAATAGTGAGAATTGGTTCTTATACTAAAGTGTTACCAAACTTGTAAAGTTTTTGGGCATATTCTCAACTTTATTCTAAAAGCAACTTTATGTAGTTTAGTGTATTTAAGTGTCTTTGGAGCCCCTACAATTAAGTGAGTGATTACAGTGGATCGTTGTACATGTGCATGAGAGAGAGAAACAAGTCTTTCTCCTGTTAGACGCCACTGTACCATATTTCAAGGTAGAAAAAGACGACCAGTTCTGAAGAATTTTACTCTTAAGAATCTTTCATGAATCCAGCCCCTGTCCTTTTTCTAAAGACTGTCTTTCAAAGGTGTCTGTGTCTAATATTCCCACAGATCAATGCAGTACTGTACCACACATTCCCAGGCCCTTGAAAAGCTGTTGTCTGTCTAACTGTGTCTGCTCTTGGTTGTTTCTGCAGGCAGGAAAGCTGAGGGGGAATCTTCATAAGATGGTTTTTGTCATGCCTAGCGAGATCTAGGACGACAGATGGGCTGAGCCTGCTGCTCGAGTGAATGGCAGCGCTTTGTGAAGAGCACAATCACCAGCTCAGACCCCGAGGGGATCCAGACACGTCCCCTCCAGCATCAGCCATCTCTACGGGGCCAACGGCCATCAGGCTGTCACAGAAACACTGTAAATAGCTTGATCTGAATGCAAATCAATAAGACAGATCTCTAATATTATTCTGTTTTAAAAGCATCATTGTCCAGCTCTTCTTGTAAATGTTTGTGGTTTTGAGTTTTATTTGCTGATGTCCTGTACGTTCTGACCGAAGCCGCTTTAAGGGGACGAGCGATCAAACAGAGCACCAGTTTCACCCTCTTTTACTCATGTTATCATTATTACGCACATACATGTATAAAGTCCAGAGCATTTCCATTTACTGTCATTAAAACCCTGAAGAGTTTTCATAACAGCTTTGTACATTTTGAAACACATTATATGTCTTGTGAATGGAAAACATTTCACTTTTTCAAACAGAACAAATGTCTTAATCATTTCGGTGTAATTATGCCGGACAGACTGATGCTTGGTGATCGTCTTTCATCAGCATAGTCTGTTGTTTGTAGCTCATTTTGATCAGTAGAGAACAGGAATCACAAAGCAACTGAAAAACTAAATTTTCAATATATTTCTGACAATTGAATGCAACCTTTACATATCTAACAGAATCTTCTGTTCATGTTAATATGTGACCCTGGAGCACAAAAGCAGTGTTCAGTCTCTGGGGGTATATTTGTAGCAATAGCCAACAATACATTGTATGGGTCCAAATTATTGATTTTTCTTTTATGCCAAAAATCATTAGGATATTAAGTAAAGATCATGTTCCATGAAGATATTTTGTAAATTTCTTACCGTAAATATATCAAAACTTAATTTTTGATTAGTAATATGCATTGCTAAGAACTTCATTTGGACAACTTTAAAGATGATTTTCTCAATATTTAGATTTTTTTGCACTCTCAGATTCCAGATTTTTGTATCTCGGCCAAATATTGTCCTATCCTAACAAACCATACATCAATGGAAAGCTCATTTGTTTAGCTTTCAGATGTATAAATCTCAATTTTAAAAAAATGGCTGGTTCTGTGGTCCAGGGTCACATGTTCTTCAGCTGGTGCTGGGCCTGTCGGCCTTGAGTGGTCATCACAGTTGTAGTTATCTGACACTTACTCTATGCTGCTGTATGTAGATCCACACTTGTCTTCTCAGTGAGTTACACTAACATAGCTTTAATTCCTAACCCAGCATACTAACATCACTGCATTTACACATTACCAATTTTCCAGTCTGTTAGCCTTAAAACGCATCCAGCACACGCTCATTACGGTACATGACAGACCACAGAGAAGGTCACTCTTAAAAATAAAGGTGCTCACAGCGATGTCATAGAAAAACCAGTCAGTCAAGATCCATCTCGTTCTTACCTTTTTATAATCTGAAGAACCTTCTTTCGCCACAACGAAACAGAAAGCTTCTTCAGATGTTAGTTGAAGGTTCTTTATGGAACCATTTAGACAAAAAGGTTCTTCTATGGCATCGTGAAGCACCTTTATTTTTAAGAGTGTTGCAGCGGTTCTGTGTTGATGCAGCGTTCAGGTTTGCTTCTCTGGATGTTGGCAGCTCCTCAGTAACCACTAGCGTTCGGTGTGCTTCTGTGTTAATGTATTGCGTTCTGAATATTGGATATTGGATACAATAACTCGGTGCTTTCCTGAATTTCAATTACAAAAGGACTTCTTGTAATTATGTAACATTTTAATGCTGCTTTATAAAGTTTCTAAGAATATGATGTGCCAAACAGGGAATCAGATTGCTGTTCATATGCAAATTTGATTTGACAAAAAGATTAAAAACACCCTGTTAATCATTTCATGGACTTTTCGTGGAGTTATTTGGGGGAAGCAAAATATTTAGAAGATATGGTACACATTTATGTGGATCATAAATGAATCCATCAGTTAATGTTTTCATATGGTTAGGAGGATATTTGTGGTGCATTGCACAATAATGTCCAATTTATTAACTTTAGTAAATGGCTTGGATATCATGTGCACAGCAGATTAAAGGGATAGTTCACCCAAAAATGACGATTATGTTATCATTTACTCACCATCAAGTTGTTCCAAACCTGTGTGAAGAAAGTGGGTAAGTTGCTGGTTCCCATTGACTTTCATAGTATGGAAAAAAACTCTGGTTACCAACATTCTCCAAAAGATCTACTATCCAAAATAGAAAGAAACTCATACATTAAGGTTCAATTCTCACCATTAATTATGGCTTTTACCTTAATTAACTGCTGCTTATTAATAGTAAGGTAGTTATTAAGTTTAGGTATTGGGTAGGATTAGAGATGCAGAATATGCTCATCCAGAATGTGTTTTATAAGCACTAATAAACAGCAAATATGTTAATAATAGGCATGCTAATAAGCAACTCGTTAATAGTGAGAATCGGTCCTTATACTAAAGTGTTTCCAGAAACTCATACAGGTTTAGAACAATATGAGGATGAGTAAATGATGACAGAATTATCATTTGTAGGAGAACTATCCCTTTAATGTTACTTTTTTTTTTAAATTTTGGTAATTGACATTAACCAAATAAATGCTGTAAAATCACTGTTTCAGCAGTTAGCTATTGCATTAACTCACGTTAATGTACAAAGTGTTACCGGTATTTGTGGCTTTTAGGCTCTCAGTCATGTGACCTCTGCCCTTTAGTAAATATCTTACTGAAATGTGAGAACTGACCCCCTGACCTGCCAAATGCATTGGATTGCATGCTTCACAGTCAGTCTTCAACAGAATTGTGTTGAAATACACACCTCTACATGACCTGTCATGACTTATATATAACACAAGTTAACTCGTGGATTTTCCAGATTCAAAGTTTAATGGTCTTAAACATTGCTGGTGCTGACAGGAATCCTCGTGTGAATGTTTAGTGTTCTGGACCGTGTTTGATACATACATGCAGTAAAGAACAGTCTGTTCTGAGAGACACAGACTGAAAACAACACGGCTTCACAAACTCATTATACACTTACAATTTTGAAATTGTATGTCAAGACTAAAATATAGTTTCTGAAGTCTAGTGTCAGATGACTGGAGAGAGAGAGTTAGTGGTCACTATCTGGGTAATATATAAATGAATGGCTGTGGTTTGACAGTTTATCTATATGTAAACTAGGTTCTGCTCAGATACTGTTAGAGAACCATTATACATCTTGGAAGGTGGATGAATAATATGTTATGATTAATTTCCTCAATTCAATGGAAAAAACAGCAAAATGAAAAATAAAATGTATGTACTTAAAACTCCAGACACATACACAACCAGGGCAACAACAAAAAAGTGGACCAAAAGTGTATGCAGCAATTTCTACTAATTTGCAAACAATTTATTCCAAAGTCTCACTCTGAAGACAAACAAGACAAAACAAGTTTCTGAATAAATATGTGGTTTATGATACAGTAACAGAGGTTTGATCTATGTCTTTTTCAACGGCAGCTGGTTTATAAATAACATTTTGCTTGGAGTCTTTTTTAAACCTGTAGAGAAAAAGAGACAGAAGTGAAACATGTTTAGCCTTTTGTGCTGCGTGTCTGCTTTCTGAAAGCAGAGAGTATTAAAAGTGAACACACTTAAGTCAAATGAAGTGGTGATGAATCAGAGATGGATATGAACGTACTTTGAGTACTTTTTCCTCTGTCCATATGTGTAGACGGAGAAAAGAAAGTGGGTAAGTTGCTGGTGCCCATTGACTTTCATAGTATGGAAAAAAACTCTGGTTACCAACATTCTCCAAAAGATCTACTATCCAAAATAGAAAGAAACTCACACATTAAGGTTCAATTCTCACCATTAATTATGGCTTTTACCTTAATTAACTGCTGCTTATTAATAGTAAGGTAGTTGTTAAGTTTAGGTATTGGGTAGGATTAGAGATGCAGAATATGCTCATCCAGAATGTGTTTTATAAGCACTAATAAACAGCAAATATGTTAATAATAGGCATGCTAATAAGCAACTAGTTAATTATGAGAATCAGTCCCTATACTAAAGTGTTACCAAATATTTTTTGTTTAGAACAATATGAGGATGAGTAAATGATGACAGAATTATCATTTGTAGGAGAACTATCCCTTTAATGTTACTTTTTTTTTTAAATTTTGGTAATTGACATTAACCAAATACATGCTGTAAAATCACTGTTTCAGCAGTTAGCTATTGCATTAACTCACGTTAATGTACAAAGTGTTACCGGTATTTGTGGCTTTTAGGCTCTCAGTCATGTGACCTCTGCCCTTTAGTAAATATCTTACTGAAATGTGAGAACTGACCCCCTGACCTGCCAAATGCATTGGATTGCATGCTTCACAGTCAGTCTTCAACAGAATTGTGTTGAAATACACACCTCTACATGACCTGTCATGACTTATATATAACACAAGTTAACTCGTGGATTTTCCAGATTCAAAGTTTAATGGTCTTAAACATTGCTGGTGCTGACAGGAATCCTCGTGTGAATGTTTAGTGTTCTGGACCGTGTTTGATACATACATGCAGTAAAGAACAGTCTGTTCTGAGAGACACAGACTGAAAACAACACGGCTTCACAAACTCATTATACACTTACAATTTTGAAATTGTATGTCAAGACTAAAATATAGTTTCTGAAGTCTAGTGTCAGATGACTGGAGAGAGAGAGTTAGTGGTCACTATCTGGGTAATATATAAATGAATGGCTGTGGTTTGACAGTTTATCTATATGTAAACTAGGTTCTGCTCAGATACTGTTAGAGAACCATTATACATCTTGGAAGGTGGATGAATAATATGTTATGATTAATTTCCTCAATTCAATGGAAAAAACAGCAAAATGAAAAATAAAATGTATGTACTTAAAACTCCAGACACATACACAACCAGGGCAACAACAAAAAAGTGGACCAAAAGTGTATGCAGCAATTTCTACTAATTTGCAAACAATTTATTCCAAAGTCTCACTCTGAAGACAAACAAGACAAAACAAGTTTCTGAATAAATATGTGGTTTATGATACAGTAACAGAGGTTTGATCTATGTCTTTTTCAACGGCAGCTGGTTTATAAATAACATTTTGCTTGGAGTCTTTTTTAAACCTGTAGAGAAAAAGAGACAGAAGTGAAACATGTTTAGCCTTTTGTGCTGCGTGTCTGCTTTCTGAAAGCAGAGAGTATTAAAAGTGAACACACTTAAGTCAAATGAAGTGGTGATGAATCAGAGATGGATATGAACGTACTTTGAGTACTTTTTCCTCTGTCCATATGTGTAGACGGAGAAGACCAGCAACGTGACGGCAAACAGAACCCCAAAGATAATCGCCAGAATGTGTCCTGTGGGGAAACAACAACCTTTAAACGCGTTTATATTGTGTTCATATTACTGTCACACACAGAGAGCTTCAGTAAGGAAGGAAAATGGAAAATAAAACCATGTTAGCACTATGAAGCAGACAACATTAAAGCTGCAGGCCCTAACTTTTGGCGCTCTAGCGGTTAATAAACAGAACTGCGTGCTGTTTTTATATCCTGCTGTAGATATACAGTAAATGATACATTCTTACCGTTAGATTCCATTATATTGCTGTCTTGCGTTTCAGATGGTGGAGCTTCACTGGCTACTGTAAAACACAACACAAAATATACATACGCTAATACATATTGATTGTACAGTACAGATTGTTTCAACAGTAACAACAAATTAACTTTCTGCTCTACAGAAGACAATGGTGTCATTATTCTGCTCAAGTTAATTCAGTGTCAGTGTTTCAAAGTTTGTGTCTTTATCTGGCTCTATTCAGTTTAAAGTGTCAGTGCAGTTAAACTGAATATTAACTTGAAGTCATTGGCATTGTTATAAATACAAAATATTAAACCAAGTGACATTTAGATGTTTGTTGGGTTCAAAAAATAAAACGGTAGTTATGAAGCCATAACTTATTGTATATACATGTTGCATTGTACTGACAATTTTTAAAGTACTTGCATGCAATTTCAAAATAATTACAACTCGTACGCCAAACTTAAAAACCCAATCCGCCTTGCTTAATCGGTTTATGTATTGTAATATGTTTTATGTTTCTCAGGGGATATTAATTCTCCTGCCTGGCTGTTATTGAAAATAAGTACCTGTTCTTAATTGACTTGCCTGGTTAAATAAAGGTTAAATTATTGAACCTTTATAATATAGATATAGGAAAATAGAAACAAAAATTTTTTTCCCAACCCCGAGTTACACAAACCAAAAAAATGGGCCCCTCAATACATAATTATAGACTGTATGTCAGTTATGTACAAAATTAACTTAGAATCTGAGTTTAGAAACAAAAAAATAAAAACAATCTCCCATGTACAGTGTACACATCTGCTAACATTTTTGTAGATCAGTGTGTACTGTATGTACAAACCCGATTCCAAAAAAGTTGGGACACTGTACAAATTGTGAATAAAAACAGAATGCAATGATGTGGAAGTTTCAAATTTCAATATTTTATTCAGAATACAACATAGATGACATATCAAATGTTTAAACTGAGAAAATGTATAATTTTAAGGGAAAAATAAGTTGATTTTAAATTTCATGGCATCAACACATCTCAAAAAAGTTGGGACAAGGCCATGTTTACCACTGTGTGGCATCCCCTCTTCTTTTTATAACAGTCTGCAAACGTCTGAGGAGACAAGTTGCTCAAGTTTAAGAATAGGAATGTTGTCCCATTCTTGTCTAATACAGGCTTCTAGTTGCTCAAATGTCTTAGGTCTTCTTTGTTTGTAGCAATAGCCAACAATACATTGTATGGGTCCAAATTATTGATTTTTCTTTTATGCCAAAAATCATTAGGATATTAAGTAAAGATCATGTTCCATGAAGATATTTTGTAAATTTCTTACCGTAAATATATCAAAACTTAATTTTTGATTAGTAATATGCATTGCTAAGAACTTCATTTGGACAACTTTAAAGATGATTTTCTCAATATTTAGATTTTTTTGCACTCTCAGATTCCAGATTTTTGTATCTCGGCCAAATATTGTCCTATCCTAACAAACCATACATCAATGGAAAGCTCATTTGTTTAGCTTTCAGATGTATAAATCTCAATTTTAAAAAAATGGCTGGTTCTGTGGTCCAGGGTCACATGTTCTTCAGCTGGTGCTGGGCCTGTCGGCCTTGAGTGGTCATCACAGTTGTAGTTATCTGACACTTACTCTATGCTGCTGTATGTAGATCCACACTTGTCTTCTCAGTGAGTTACACTAACATAGCTTTAATTCCTAACCCAGCATACTAACATCACTGCATTTACACATTACCAATTTTCCAGTCTGTTAGCCTTAAAACGCATCCAGCACACGCTCATTACGGTACATGACAGACCACAGAGAAGGTCACTCTTAAAAATAAAGGTGCTCACAGCGATGTCATAGAAAAACCAGTCAGTCAAGATCCATCTCGTTCTTACCTTTTTATAATCTGAAGAACCTTCTTTCGCCACAACGAAACAGAAAGCTTCTTCAGATGTTAGTTGAAGGTTCTTTATGGAACCATTTAGACAAAAAGGTTCTTCTATGGCATCGTGAAGCACCTTTATTTTTAAGAGTGTTGCAGCGGTTCTGTGTTGATGCAGCGTTCAGGTTTGCTTCTCTGGATGTTGGCAGCTCCTCAGTAACCACTAGCGTTCGGTGTGCTTCTGTGTTAATGTATTGCGTTCTGAATATTGGATATTGGATACAATAACTCGGTGCTTTCCTGAATTTCAATTACAAAAGGACTTCTTGTAATTATGTAACATTTTAATGCTGCTTTATAAAGTTTCTAAGAATATGATGTGCCAAACAGGGAATCAGATTGCTGTTCATATGCAAATTTGATTTGACAAAAAGATTAAAAACACCCTGTTAATCATTTCATGGACTTTTCGTGGAGTTATTTGGGGGAAGCAAAATATTTAGAAGATATGGTACACATTTATGTGGATCATAAATGAATCCATCAGTTAATGTTTTCATATGGTTAGGAGGATATTTGTGGTGCATTGCACAATAATGTCCAATTTATTAACTTTAGTAAATGGCTTGGATATCATGTGCACAGCAGATTAAAGGGATAGTTCACCCAAAAATGACGATTATGTTATCATTTACTCACCATCAAGTTGTTCCAAACCTGTGTGAAGAAAGTGGGTAAGTTGCTGGTGCCCATTGACTTTCATAGTATGGAAAAAAACTCTGGTTACCAACATTCTCCAAAAGATCTACTATCCAAAATAGAAAGAAACTCACACATTAAGGTTCAATTCTCACCATTAATTATGGCTTTTACCTTAATTAACTGCTGCTTATTAATAGTAAGGTAGTTGTTAAGTTTAGGTATTGGGTAGGATTAGAGATGCAGAATATGCTCATCCAGAATGTGTTTTATAAGCACTAATAAACAGCAAATATGTTAATAATAGGCATGCTAATAAGCAACTCGTTAATAGTGAGAATCGGTCCTTATACTAAAGTGTTTCCAGAAACTCATACAGGTTTAGAACAATATGAGGATGAGTAAATGATGACAGAATTATCATTTGTAGGAGAACTATCCCTTTAATGTTACTTTTTTTTTTAAATTTTGGTAATTGACATTAACCAAATAAATGCTGTAAAATCACTGTTTCAGCAGTTAGCTATTGCATTAACTCACGTTAATGTACAAAGTGTTACCGGTATTTGTGGCTTTTAGGCTCTCAGTCATGTGACCTCTGCCCTTTAGTAAATATCTTACTGAAATGTGAGAACTGACCCCCTGACCTGCCAAATGCATTGGATTGCATGCTTCACAGTCAGTCTTCAACAGAATTGTGTTGAAATACACACCTCTACATGACCTGTCATGACTTATATATAACACAAGTTAACTCGTGGATTTTCCAGATTCAAAGTTTAATGGTCTTAAACATTGCTGGTGCTGACAGGAATCCTCGTGTGAATGTTTAGTGTTCTGGACCGTGTTTGATACATACATGCAGTAAAGAACAGTCTGTTCTGAGAGACACAGACTGAAAACAACACGGCTTCACAAACTCATTATACACTTACAATTTTGAAATTGTATGTCAAGACTAAAATATAGTTTCTGAAGTCTAGTGTCAGATGACTGGAGAGAGAGAGTTAGTGGTCACTATCTGGGTAATATATAAATGAATGGCTGTGGTTTGACAGTTTATCTATATGTAAACTAGGTTCTGCTCAGATACTGTTAGAGAACCATTATACATCTTGGAAGGTGGATGAATAATATGTTATGATTAATTTCCTCAATTCAATGGAAAAAACAGCAAAATGAAAAATAAAATGTATGTACTTAAAACTCCAGACACATACACAACCAGGGCAACAACAAAAAAGTGGACCAAAAGTGTATGCAGCAATTTCTACTAATTTGCAAACAATTTATTCCAAAGTCTCACTCTGAAGACAAACAAGACAAAACAAGTTTCTGAATAAATATGTGGTTTATGATACAGTAACAGAGGTTTGATCTATGTCTTTTTCAACGGCAGCTGGTTTATAAATAACATTTTGCTTGGAGTCTTTTTTAAACCTGTAGAGAAAAAGAGACAGAAGTGAAACATGTTTAGCCTTTTGTGCTGCGTGTCTGCTTTCTGAAAGCAGAGAGTATTAAAAGTGAACACACTTAAGTCAAATGAAGTGGTGATGAATCAGAGATGGATATGAACGTACTTTGAGTACTTTTTCCTCTGTCCATATGTGTAGACGGAGAAGACCAGCAACGTGACGGCAAACAGAACCCCAAAGATAATCGCCAGAATGTGTCCTGTGGGGAAACAACAACCTTTAAACGCGTTTATATTGTGTTCATATTACTGTCACACACAGAGAGCTTCAGTAAGGAAGGAAAATGGAAAATAAAACCATGTTAGCACTATGAAGCAGACAACATTAAAGCTGCAGGCCCTAACTTTTGGCGCTCTAGCGGTTAATAAACAGAACTGCGTGCTGTTTTTATATCCTGCTGTAGATATACAGTAAATGATACATTCTTACCGTTAGATTCCATTATATTGCTGTCTTGCGTTTCAGATGGTGGAGCTTCACTGGCTACTGTAAAACACAACACAAAATATACATACGCTAATACATATTGATTGTACAGTACAGATTGTTTCAACAGTAACAACAAATTAACTTTCTGCTCTACAGAAGACAATGGTGTCATTATTCTGCTCAAGTTAATTCAGTGTCAGTGTTTCAAAGTTTGTGTCTTTATCTGGCTCTATTCAGTTTAAAGTGTCAGTGCAGTTAAACTGAATATTAACTTGAAGTCATTGGCATTGTTATAAATACAAAATATTAAACCAAGTGACATTTAGATGTTTGTTGGGTTCAAAAAATAAAACGGTAGTTATGAAGCCATAACTTATTGTATATACATGTTGCATTGTACTGACAATTTTTAAAGTACTTGCATGCAATTTCAAAATAATTACAACTCGTACGCCAAACTTAAAAACCCAATCCGCCTTGCTTAATCGGTTTATGTATTGTAATATGTTTTATGTTTCTCAGGGGATATTAATTCTCCTGCCTGGCTGTTATTGAAAATAAGTACCTGTTCTTAATTGACTTGCCTGGTTAAATAAAGGTTAAATTATTGAACCTTTATAATATAGATATAGGAAAATAGAAACAAAAATTTTTTTCCCAACCCCGAGTTACACAAACCAAAAAAATGGGCCCCTCAATACATAATTATAGACTGTATGTCAGTTATGTACAAAATTAACTTAGAATCTGAGTTTAGAAACAAAAAAATAAAAACAATCTCCCATGTACAGTGTACACATCCGCTAACATTTTTGTAGATCAGTGTGTACTGTATGTACAAACCCGATTCCAAAAAAGTTGGGACACTGTACAAATTGTGAATAAAAAATGATTACATATGCCTAATTTGATAATGTAACCTTTTAGTGTTTCTAGTAAAAAGATATTCAGACATTTTCATAATTACGATTTCAAACACATCATGGGGCCACTGTAAACTGCAGCACAATCAGGTTTATACCTGCTGCAGTTTACAGTGGCACCATGATGTGTTTGAAATCATAATTATTTCAAACACTAAAGAGCTAAAAGGCCTAATACAGACTGTACATACTTCTTGCAGTGGATCCTGTGTGGAAAGATGCCAGCACTTTTCTCCCATGCAGAAGTTGTGGAGCTCTGAAGTTTTTGGACAAAAGCTTGTTGTGTTCAGTTTTCAATGTGTCCTCCAAGGCTGCTAGCTAACAAAAGAAAAACAAGACTGATTTAGATCAGCGAGTGCTATAAATTACGTGATGCTCTCTTGTGAGAATAGTCTGACCTGTCTTCTTGAGACTCTGATTGAGTCGTTGAACAAAGTCCAGCTGACCGTCTGAAAGCACGGAGGGGTCGTGAGGGACCCGCTGTACCTATAAAACCTGTCCAAGCTGTCTGGCAGTAGATGGCGCACATTAAAACCAGGAATCTCAGTGTCTGACTCTGAAAAGAAGACCATCAGCTCAGGTCGGATGATAATCATCAGTGCTTTATGCTTGACGTTTTCTTTGTTGACAGTTATTAGTTTCTTACCCTCAATGCTGATGTCTGTTAACGCAGACAGGATCTTCTCATAGTTGTCATTGTCACGAAGGCCAATCTGTTGAGGAAAAAGTCAAAAAGAAATACTAACAAATGTATTGCAAAGACTTTATTGGAAGTGATCAAACCCTATGGAAGCCCATTTCCGCCACTGAATAAAATTTTTTAAAAAGGTTATTGCGACTTTTTATCTCAATTTTGGAGGGGGGGGGGTGACTGTATGTTCTCAGTATTGTGACTTTATAACTCGCTGTTCCGACTTTATAACTCGCAGTTCCGACTTTATATCTCGCAATTCCGACTTCATAACTCGCAGTTCCGACTTCATAACTCGCAGTTCCGACTTTATAACTCGCAGTTCCGACAAGTTTTATGTGGCTTTTTATCTTAATTTTGGGTGGGGGGGGGGTGACTGTATGTTCTCAGTATTGTGACTTTATAACTCGCTGTTCCGACTTTATAACTCGCAGTTCCGACTTTATATCTCGCAATTCCGACTTCATAACTCGCAGTTCCGACTTCATAACTCGCAGTTCCGACTTTATAACTCGCAGTTCCGACTTTATATTGCGAAGTTCCGACTTTATAACTCGCAGTTCCGACTTTATAACTCGCAGTTCCGACTTTATAACTCGCAGTTCCGACTTTATAACTCGCAATTCCGACTTTATAACTCGCAATTCCGACTTTATAACTCGCAATTCCGACTTTATAACTCGCAATTCCGACTTTATAACTCGCAATTCCGACTTTATAACTCGCAATTCCGACTTTATAACTCGCAATTCCGACTTTATAACTCGCAATTCCGACTTTATAACTCGCAATTCCGACTTTATAACTCGCAATTCCGACTTTATAACTCGCAATTCCGACTTTATAACTCGCAATTCCGACTTTATAACTCGCAATTCCGACTTTATAACTCGCAATTCCGACTTTATAACTCGCAATTCCGACTTTATAACTCGCAATTCCGACTTTATAACTCGCAATTCCAACTTTATAACTCACAATTCCGACTTTATATCTCGCAATTCCGACTTTATATCTCGCAATTCCGACTTTATATCTCGCAATTCCGACTTTATAATTCGCAATTCCGACTTTATATCTTGCAATTCTGACTTTTTTCCTGAGAATCGCCAGTTTATGTCTTGCAATTCTGACTTTATAACACGTAATTGCGAGTTTAGCCTATATCACGCAATTACGCAATTCTAAAGTCAGAATTGCGAAATTCGTGAGTACGGTTTATTAATCCGTGGGCACGATTTGTTAAACCGAGGGAACGAGGGAACA